GCTCTGAACTTTCTTGCCAATATCTTCTATGCATAAACAGAGGAAAAACTGGAACTTTCATGACATTTTTATAAACATATTTTATAATTGCATCCTAGGCAGAAAGAAAGTTCACTCTATATGTTGGATACTTGATTGTTTCAGATTTCACATTTAACAACATGTCTAGAAGATCCAACAAATCTTATTTTATAAGAAGACCAATTATAGAGAGTAAATTTTCACAAAATCCATGTGAAATATATTATTCTGTCTATAATTTCTAAGGAAAAGGAAAGGGGTCTCTGCGGATCTTACTCAGTGAATCATAACCAAATATAAAGGGTGGCACTCATTTCCGTTTCAAGAGCGGTTGAGCTAGAGCTGTCCAAGGCATTCTGTGACCATGAGGCCAGCATGACATCACACAGTTTTCTCCCCACTGAAGCGGTAACCTCTAAAGAGCAAGTTAAAACGAGACGAGATCACTGTGACACAGATCATTCTATCATTCTACCTGCCTCTAAAACAGTGGTTCTCAACCTTTTTAATGCCGCGACCCCCACCCGGTCGTGAGTAGAGGACTAAACAACTGGTCGTAAGTCGAGGACTAAACCGGTCGTAAGTTGAGGACTACCCTACTGGTTGTAAGTCGAGGACTTTCCCTGCCCAGGAGCGCTGCGCATGCGAGGTGCCGCCCCCTGCGCGGCAGAGACGGAGCAGGGCGACCACCGGCTGGACCACCAGCTGGCCCAGCCCAAGGGAGATAAGGCACCTGCTGGGCCCCACGCACGCCAGCAACCCTCCCTGCGCCCGCTGGCCTCCCACCTCCCACCCCTGGCCCTCTTTTACTTACATTTTTAGTAGTTGCTCAGCAGGGAGGGGTGGAAACTTCCAGACAGCTCGCCTTCGCTGCAGACAACTTGCAGCACCGTTTGCAGAATGGGACTTTTGGCGGCTCAGCAGGGCAGAGACAGCCTGGACAATTCCTATTGGCTTTTGAAAGCCAATAGAATTAGATTCTATTCAAGAGAGTCTATTCTATTGGCTTTCAAAAGCCAATAGAATAAAAGGGAGTAGCACAGCTAAGGAAAAGGGGGAAAAAAATGGCGGACTGCGTTGTTTGGCGACCCCCGTGAAATGGTTGTTCGACCCCAAATGGGGTCCCGACCCACAGGTTGAGAACCACTGCTCTAAAAGCTTTGAGCAATCTATTCTAGATTCTAGGTTCTTGAGCAGTATCGCTTGCAAATCAGTAGCAACAAGGATCTGATGCTTCAAGAATCCATTTTTTTTCTTTTTAAGTGAGGTTAGCCACAAGCATTAATCATCTAATCACTCATTCTGTTTCCTAGTTGAAAAAGCCAATGTGCTGGGCGGTGTATTTAATCACAAGTCGAAGAGCAGAGTTACTCTTGTTGGACTTGCACCCCAGATTTGTTTTGTGGCTATATAATCAGACTGCTAGATGTTTCTCTCCCTTGGAGATGGACCAGGTGGATGGTCTATTTATGAAACGCCCAACAGCCACAGATTCATTAAGATGAGCTCCATCTGTAGAAAATAAGGCAGCATCAGCATCACTACTGTCCTCTTGGCCTTTTACTGAAGAGGCATGTACTTTGTTTTGGTCAGTAACAGATGGTGTAAGTAGTTGTCTGTGATTCAAAGGGTCCCTTTGGCCTGTAGGAAAATCTTGGGCGGTCAAAGTGCTACTGAGTGAGTGCTGTGTTTCATTTTATTCCTGATCACAATGATTACCATCTTCTATTCTTTTCCTCACAGTGATTTCAGAAAAACAAACTAACTTTGGGGAGTTCTACTGGTTTCTCTTCCTTCCTGTTTTCTGTTTTCACTTATGAGCACCACTATAAAAGTTTTGCGCCTTTTTCCCACTGCTGCTTGAAGTTGTCATTTTAAAGTGGTCTAGATGACCATCCTTGAGTGTCTCAGAATGGAAAGTTTCTAATCCAACTCTCAAAACCTTGAAGGAAGTTTATTAATGGCCTGTTGTTCTAGGCCACAGCCAGTTAACTATTTATATTATATTATTATTTTACATTGGATGATTACATGTTTTCCAATCCCAGTCAAATATTTATTTAATAATTTATGGTTAAACAACTCATGGCCTAATGTAATGTGGGAATCCAGTATTAGTTTTATTAGCAATTTATGATAAAAGCAGCCAAATTAAAAAAAAAGCTTCTGGTGCGTGTGTGTACTTGTAGACATAAAATACCCAGTAGATGTAGGAGCAAATGGACCCCTTAGTCCCCCAGAAGAAAGCTAGCTTCTGTTCAAGATAAGCTAAAACTTATTCCTGTTCCAAAGATATAATCATACAATTGTACTAAGAAAAAAATTAAAAATGAATTATAAGGACAACACCAATAAGTTGATAGTTATGAGAATGAGCACCTTCCTTTGTTTACATCATATGAGAATACATTTATCAATTGGGGTTTAAAATTTTGTCAGGGGAGGTGAACATGGCACTTTTACCTAGACTATGGCTTTTATTAAATATTAGAATTTTATCACAATTTTCCTCACATTGAGGAAAAACAGTACAAAAGGCATTGACTGGAAAAATCTGAATTTCTCCAGTTTGGTAGATGTTCATGAAAATTGGAAATTGTACCTTTTTCTGTCAGCTAATGGAAAAAAATCTATACCAATCTTCTTTGATGACCTTTAATAAAGTCAGAACATTATTCTTTATAGAAGGTAATCAAGAGTTTACTGCATTGGTTTAGTGACCTCTTTAACACTGTTAAAAGAATTCCAGCTGATGACTGTAGAACTTGTCCTACAGTTTTTTTTAAAAAAAGCTAAACAGAAATATACATGAAAATATTAAAGCACTTTTCATATTTTTTAAAAAATCCAATACTGTAGCTTTTAATATTTATCCTTCAACTTCTCCATGCTACTTGTTGACACACGGTTACATATTTCTATATTTACGTGCAGTTTGTTTCTTTTTTAAAAAAGGAAAGGATTGTAAAATGTTGACTACAGATCTGCATTTCTTACAGGTACCAATATACACTACAAACTTGCATGCACACATAAAAGAAAAAATGAGAAGAAGAATCTGCCATGCTATATTTCACATTCTTTTTAAACAAACATAATACCGTTACCAGAAAGAGACTGTAACAGGTTCTGATAAGATCCTATTGCAAAATATTTTAAATTATCAAAATGCTTTCTGAGTCAAAAATCCTGCTTTTGTCTGGCACTTTTTCCTGTGCTCTTACTCTAATGATACACGTTCAATTACTGCTGAAAAGAAAAGAATCAAATCAGGAACGTGTAGTTTGCCATATAATTACTGATTCTTCCCCATGGTGACTGACCTTTGTAAGACCGATACCAAGACCTGAAAGGCTAAAATGATAAATATTCACAAGGCTTAAAACATATAACACAATTACAAAGACTTAAAGCGGGCATGACATAAGCGTGGACCTTATGTTCTTGCATTTTATGTCTGAACCCAGAATGTAGTAGCTGGATTTATTCAGAATGAGAGTAATTCACAAGCCACTGAAATGCAATGTTTTATTGTATAATAAAGGTAAACACCACATTTGAGCCCATTATACAGCTATTACTTTAACCTGTAATATTAACCTTTTCTAGGAAGTTTTTGGGGTTACTCTCATCTTCACACCAGTTTGTGATTTTTGTATGTGAATACAAACAATAATGAAACACATTTCAAACTCACAGTGATCAGACCACTTTGTTTTCTTTTCAAGTCCCATTCCCTTTACTTTTTCATTTTTTGTCATCTCTTATTTATTGATCTAAACTGTCCATTACAGTTCATTACAAAGGATCCTACTGTGAACTTCAGTAAAATACGCTGTTACTCTCTGTTTATTTGCCAGAGAAAGCAGCAACTTTATCTTGAGGCTCTGTATTTAAAGTCAGCAAAAACGTGCCAGCAAAACTTAACCAACTTCGCTATTAATCCCAAGAGAATACACAGACACAGGCACAGACACACAGACAAACTAGATCTAGATAATTATTTTAAATCATTGCCTCTCTTTTAATGATAGCAATAGCAATAGCACTTAGACTTACATACTAGTCCATAGTGCTTTACAGCACTCTCTGAGCAGTTTGCAATGTCGGCATATTGCCCCCAACAATCTGGGTCTTCATTTTACCGACCTTGGAAGGAGGGAAGGCTGAGGTAACCTTGAGCCAGTCAGGACTGAACTCCTGGCTGTGGGCAGAGTTAGACTGCAATACTGTATTCTAAGCACTGCCTCACCAAGGCTCTTAAAATGATAAAATTCTACTAAAGTAATCGATCAATGATTGCTTATGAGTACTATGTAAATGAGTCTACAGATAGTCCTTGACTTATGATCATTTGTTAACAAACATTTGACATTACGATGGTGTTGAAAAAAAGTGATTTACAACTGGTTCTTGCATTTACAACCATCAAAGTGTCCCTTGGTCACATGATCAAAATTTGGGTGCTTGGCAACCTGTATATATTTACAACAGTTGCAGGTCCCAGAGTCATGTAATCATCATTTGAGATCTTCCAGAGGTTTCCAATAAGCAAAGTCAATGGTGGAAGCTGGATTTGCTTAATGATTGTGTGATTTGCTTAATGACCACGCAAAAAAAGATCATAAAATGGTGCAAGACTTACTTAACAACAGCATCCCTTAGCAAAGGAAGTCCCGGTCCCATTTTTGGTTGTAAGTCGAGGACTATTTATAAATTCTAATTGTTTGTTTCCTATGGCCTTTGCTGAGCACATCATCATCTTCCATTTCCAAAATTATTTCCTTCAGCAGATAAATTTATCATAAAACCCAACAAACCCTTTTCTTAGTAAGAGACTTTCCTTCTAAAACATGGATTAATCTGTTTCTTCTTTGCTAACAAATTACAGATATATTTCTAAGTCTTTATTCTCCTATGCAAAAATATATGTTTTACAGAATATTATTTTCTTTACTCTCTATATTCTGAATGTTTACCTTGCTTTTCTGGGCTATTTTTCGCTCGTGAATTATAGGAGGTTTTATCACTACAGGAAAATGATCTGTCTTCACAATCATCTACAAAGTCTTTGAACACTGGAGAAGTCTAAAGCAAAAGAAATAAAACAGTATTTAAAAAAATTATTCCAATATTTTTGCAGAATTACAATAGTAAATGCGAATTCTGAAATGAGCTTCTCTCAGCTCCTGCCTTAATATATCTTGAAATTAATTAACCAATAGACATTGTATTGGTTTGACATTTTTATTTGTGTGAGAATTCTGAAAATTGAGATCTCATTATTACTGTTCTTTCAGAAAGTCTACAAGTCCCTCACATCAATTGCTCATCAAAGACCTAATGAGACCAACATTCATTAGTTTTAGGTTGGTGTAAATTGTTTGCCAAAGCATGCCTCACAATCCATTCCTCAATGTTGTGAAGAAGCTCAGAGATCTTCCTGAAGAATTGCTTTGGCCTGTGCAGAATATTCATAAAGCACTTGAATAATGTGCATAGAACTATTCCAGATCTGTAAAACACTTGTTACTAATTGATACCAATGTCTGAGTCTGAACATTCAGGAGATACTTGGATTATTCTGGTTTCCAGATGTTAGTAATAGCCCTAGAAAAAGCAAAAACTAGCCATTTCTGATAAAAGAGATGTAAGCAAATACAGCCATTTACTATCTCAACAAGATCTTTTTCAAAATGGATACAGTTCTGGAGTAAAGTATTAGCCTCCTTGTATTTTCTGAATTGGGGCATATTATTGCAGAATACCACTAAAATGATTGCAGCACTAATGATGTTACTAGTTGGGTAATAACACGTTTATCTCCCAGATAAACCAGACAGGAAACACAACTAGATGAGCTAATTCTTACTTATGATAAGGCTACATTGATAAAATCTTGCCACTATGAAGGTATAAACTTTCCACTGCCACTTTTATCCCTCTGAACAATAAGGGAGGAGCCTTCCTAAGCCTTAATCCATCAGGAATGCCTGCCTCTCTTGTCTGATTGTTTCTTAGGCGGCATCTCTCTTCCTCATCCCCCAAGGTCACCCACACAGTCCATTATATGTCTGCAAACAAACAACCAAGCTTAGAGAGCACCAAGAACTCCAATGAATGTTATAAGGATCTTACTGATAAATAAAAGGAGTGACTTGAGCAAATTAAAGTAAAGTTTGCTGCTTGTTTTATTTATCTCATAAAAAAGTCATCTACTGAGCAATGCGCCTGTATGAAAAAAGCAATTGTTCAATCAATGCCATTAAAATGATAACTGGGGCAGTTGTGTGGGTATTTTTTTAAACAATGAGGGCAAAAACAATCTTGCCTGATATCAATCTCTCAAAATCTGGTTCTTTTCACCCCAATGATCATTCACCCAAAATGAATTTCTGAAGATTCACATTAAAAAAGTATGTGATGCCTAATTGTCTTGAAATGGATACAGTCTTATTTCAAAAGTTCTGGGACTTAATTGGTCCAGGAAAGTGGAGATTTAAAATAATGAATTTTCTCAAGAATAGCTATCCTGTCAAAATCATTCCGAAAGAATAGACAAGTTCCACAAGGAACTTCAGAATATCCAGAGATCAACAGGGTATTTTTATCCTGGCTGAAGTTAATATTTATATTTTCACTATCAGAAAAGCACCACATATAAAAGGATTCATGAGAGAAGGGGCGTTGTCTTACCTGGATAATCCACTAATGGGTTAACTTAATCCTCCTGCCCAATCAGATCAAGTCAGCCAAACTTGCCACGCCTGTCCTGGGCCTGTTTGCCCCAGTTTTCGACGAGGACGCAGCTGACTGACTGACAGCATGACGTGTTGGCTCACAGAACAGACCCTAGGCCTAAGGACCTAATTGGGTGGATGTGGATTATCCATCTCCGTGCTGAGAAATGGCGTTCAGGTAAGACAACGCCCCTTCTCCAGCACTGGAGATGGATAATCCACTAATGGGACGTACCAAAGCCCACTGTCCTTACGGGAGGAAAGCAGGCAAGTTTGGAACCGTTTTGCAGGGCACCACTAGTTGGAGGACCCTCCTGCCAAAGGATGCCTCAGCGGAAGCGTATCTGTCCAGTTTGCAGTGCCGTATGAATGGTGACGGGGAAGACCATGTGGCTGCCTTACATAATTCCTCGATTGAAGCCTGCGTGGCCCAGGCCGCCAAGGCGGCCGCACTGCGGGTGAAGTGGGCTGTGACATGGGGCGGAATTGGCAAGGAATTGGATTGGTATGCCCCCGCAATGCAAGCTCTTATCCAACAACTGATCGTGGAGGCCGAGACCTTCCGACCCCTGGAAGAAGGTGAGAAGGAGGCAAAAAGAGCCTCGGAGCTACGGAAGGAGGCCGTCCGTTTAATGTAATAACAGAGAGCCCGTCGGACGTCCAGAGAATGCCATTGACGTTCCAGCTCATGGGACGGATTGGGGCAGAAATCAGGAAGGACGATGTCCTGGGTCCTATGAAACAGAGAATTAACTTTGGGAACAAAGATGGGGTCTAAATGAAGAGTGACCCAATCCCAGTGGAAGATACACAGATCTTCCCTGACCGAGGGCCGCCATCTCAGAGATGCACCGGGCCAAAGTAATGGCCACCAAGAAGGTGACCTTGAGGGATAAGGACCTCATGTCGCATGAACTGAGTGGCTCAAAGGGAGCCCTGGTAAGAGCCTGAAGGACCCTAGGTAATTCCCACGTGGGATACCTGTGGACCACAGGTGGCTTGGTATTTGTAGCTCCCTTGAGAAAGGAACAGATCAAGGGGTGTTGCCCCAGAGAACTAACATTGTTGCAAGACAGCAAGGTAGAGAGGGCCGCCACCTGCCTACGCAAGGTATTAGGTGCCAATCCCTTATTCAGTCCCTTCAACAAATAGTCCAGAATGTTTGGGATGGTCAATCTCGATAAAGGTAGTTGACGAGTGGAACATCACCGGCAAAAATTCTGCCATGTGGCCTCGTAATGCGGTTCGTCGCTGGTCTACGGGATGCCTGAATTATATCAATGACCCCTGGCGAACAGGACTCCTGGATCAGGATCCTGCGTTCAAGTGCCAAATGGCTAACTGGAGCCATTGAGGGTCTGGATGAGTCAGGTCCCCCTGGATCAGTGATATCCTGCCTGGGGGGATTTTCCAAGGACGCGATTGGGAAAGACCGACGGGGTCGGCGAAACAGGGTCTCCGCGGCCAGTAAGGGGCTACCAGGAGGACCTCTGCCTTCTCATATAGGAGCTTGCGGGTGACCACTGGGAGGAGGAGAAGGGGCGGAAAGGCATAGAGTAAACCATCTGGCCATGAGGTCCAGAGGGCATCTACTCCCTCTGCCCCCCGAACTGGGTACTGCAAACTGCGAAAGGAACTGTGGGAGCTGCGTGTTTGTCCTGGAGGCAAACAGGTCTATGATGGGGAGACCGAATCTATGAGTGATTTCCCTGAATAGCCTCGGGTGCAGACGCCATTCCGAGTGGTCCACTGTTGACCTGCTCAGGAAGTCTGCCCTCTTGTTTGCCTCCCCCGAGATGTGGTCTGCCCTGAGCGAGGCGAGGTTGGTCTCTGCCCAGGAGCCCAGCTGCTTCGCCCCGGCCAGGAGCACCCGGGACCAGGTGCCCCCCTGCCTGTTCACATGGGCCTTTGCTGACACATTGTCCATAAGGACGAGTACATGCTGTTTCGCTATGCTGTGGCGAAAGTGGCGGAGGGCCAGGTGTATGGCCCTGAGTTCCAGCCAGTTGATGCTGTGTCTCAGGTCCGCCCGAGACCACCTCCCTTGGACCCATTGAGACTGATAGTGTGCTCCCCAGCCGAACAGACTGGCGTCCGTCGTGACCGTGAGCCGCCTGGGCTCCTTGAAAAGAGACCCTCTGGTCATGGCTGGAGAGAGCCACCATCTGAGGGAGTGTAAGATGTGTGGTGGAATCCTTACTTCTTGGGTGGAAGTGCTTGTTCCCTGCTTTTGATAGGGGAGCAGACACCACTGGATGGGCCGCGAGTGTAACCTGGCCCAGGGAACGATCGAGATGCACGATTGTTTACATTTTTTCATATGCAGCTCACATCAAAGTATTTTGTTAAAGATTTTCTGGGTAGTTATGTTTTTACTTCAGCATCTCACATGTCAGATAACTTTATGAATTAAACGTAATAAAGACATACATCTTTCAGAAAATAATCAGCTAGATGCCAAAAAAGTCTTCTCAGCAAGCACATAATATGATCTATATGTAAAATTATTACTATACATACATAAATACAATTTCTTCATCTGAAAATCATTCACCAGATGTCATTCCCTGGCATTACCCAACTACGCAAGAGGTTAAGTAACATACTGACCGGGCTTTCTTCTTTATGATTCTCCAAAATCAATAGGGTACCAAATATGTCTTTCACTTCTTGTCTGAGTAAAATGTGATGCTTTTGCAAGAATAAGATATGTTTGCTTAAACGTTCCCAAATCTTAGTAAAATAAGAAGTCAATTCAGATCTAGATAAAACAGAAAAAAAGTTTTCACTTAAAATGCTCAAAAACAGCTCAGTTGACATGAGATATTGTTTTTGTTTTTTTTTATAAAGATTTTATTGTTTTTTTTATCAACATATGTTAATTTTTCCAATCAACAAGTTGTCTGGAGTTTGCTATGCTAATATATGTTCAATTCCTAATCCTTCATTCTTTCCTCTAGCCAAGAATAAAATAGGTTCCAAATTTGATAGTAGTCTATATCTTCTTTATCTTTCAACCTCATAGTTAATCTGTCCATCTCTGTACATTCCAATATTTTCCTGATTGTTTCTTCTTCTGATGGCAATCCTTCATTCTTCCAGTATTGTGCAAAAATTATTCTCGCTGCTGTAGTAATGTGTAAGATTAAATATAATTTCTGCTTATTAGTCTTTTCAGGCATAATACCTAGTAAAAAAAGTTCAGGTTTAAAATCCACTTGTTCACCCAATATTTTTTCTAACCACATATTTATCTTTCTCCAATAGGCCTTTGCCTTACCACATGTCCACCAAATGTGCCTATGTTATGTTTACATTTCCAACATCTATCTGACATATTTTTAAACATTTTTACTAATCTTGCTGGCGGCAGGTGCCATCTATAAAACATTTTATACAGATATTCTTTATATGAAGTTGACATTGTTAATTTGTAGTTTCTCTCCCATAACTTTTGCCATTTTTCTAATTCTATGTTATAGCCAAAAAGTTTTGCCCAATGAGATATTGTTTATATAGAACTGAAATATGGAATAAAATATGGAATCATCCCAGTCGGGCATCCCCCCCCCCCCAGTGTGCACATAAGAGGTAGCAAGCGTGCGGCGGCTGACAGTGTCCAGCAGCAGCCATAGCCCATTGGCCTTTTGGCTGGCACACTCTCGGGCTGCGCATCCTGTGAGTTGATTACTGTCCAAGCAGCAGGCGGAGGCAGGCAATCCGGATGCGCTGCGTGGGCATCTTGCTCATGGGAAGCTCATGTAGCAACATCGGCAGCAGGCAGAGCCAGAGGTACAGGGGGGAGGCAGGTGATCCGGATGTACCACGTGGCTGCTTGGCTCATGGGAGGGTCACACGGTGGTATCAGCAGCAGGCAGAGGCACAGGAGGGAGGGCAGGGGATCCTGATGTACTGTGTGGTCTCCTGCCTCAGCACAGCCATGGGAAGCTGAAAGACGTTGGGATGGAGTGGGCAGCATGTCAGGATCGCCTGCCTCCCCCTCTGTGCCTCTGCCGACTGCTGGTGCTGCCATGTGAGCCTCCCACAAGCCAGGCAGCTGCACAGTGCATCCGGATGTACTGCCTCACCCCCTGTGCCTTTGCTTAGCCTGCTGCTGGTGCATCCTGCGAGCCAGGTGGCCACGAAGCATGTCCGGATCTCCTGCCTCCCCCCGCGCCTCTGCTTGGAGGGATGGTCTGGTGGTCATAGCGCTTGGACTTACCTGTGCTGCACGGGCTATGGCTGTTGTTGGATACTATTGGCCCCTGCTGGCCACGCCCAACCCAGGCTTATTTTTGGGGTGGGGCTTATTTTAGGAGCATGCTAAAATGAGGCTAGGGCTTATTTTCTGATTGGGTCTTATTTTCGGGAAATACGATTTTTATAGAAAAATGAAATTAGATTGATTAGGTCATTGAGATGTTTGTGCTTTTATTGTGTTTTTTGTTTTATTTTTTGCTATCTTTTTTGTGTTATGGTGTACATTGCCAAGATTCACCTTCTGAGTTTGGCAGAATATAAATACAATGCACACAAAAAAGGCCATGGCTGGCAAAAACTAAACTGAGAGTTTTACCATTCACTTAATAGCTATGTAATCCAGTTATGCAATCGGTAGTTGATTTATTGTATCTTTTGGTGTCTTCCCAAGAGTCTTAGTATTAGCCTTTCAAGGCAGTCCAGACCAGAAGCACAACCAGGAGCATCAGCATGATCTTTACTGTAAAGTTACATTGAACAGAATCCTACAAGACTGAAAATATTTCTCCCATCCTCTCTTTTTAGTCACCAGAAAAGTAAAGAGGGTCGTCCCTTTTGAAACACGTCTCATGTTTTCCCCCCACCTGCAGACTGAGCTGTCTCTTATCACGTTGTCCAAGCTGCGGATCTTCCTCCTGTCTCCCAAGGTCATTCCCACATACCATCACAACTGAGAACATTATTCATTAAGATATTTTGACATATTATTTTGGATTGAATTATATAATTCAAATGACTAGAAATATCATATTTTATCCTAAAAAGGTTGAACAATTTTTGAAAGAGGTGAAATAGCTGGGAATTGAAACTAGTGCTTATAGAACAGTGGTTCTCAACCTGTGGGTCGGGACCCCATTTGGGGTCGAACAACCATTTCACGGGGGTTGCCAAACAACACAGTCCACCATTTTTCCCCCCTTTTCCTTAGCTGTGCTACTCCCTTTTATTCTATTGGCTTTTGAAAGCCAATAGAATAGACTCTCTTGAATAGAGTCTAATTCTATTGGCTTTCAAAAGCCAATAGGAATTGTCCAGGCTGCCTCTGCCCTGCTGAGCCCACCAAAAGTCCCATTCTGCAAACGGTGCTGCACCAATTGAGTAGTCCTCGACTTACGACTGGTTGAGTAGTCCTCGACTTACGACCGGCTGGGGGTCGCGGCATTAAAAATGTTGAGAACCACTGTTATAGAACATTCAGGCAAAGCAAATACATAGGAAAATGCATAACAAACTAATTCAGGAACATGGACAGATAGTCAGTGGGGAAACTGGCAGGAAATTGTAAACCCCAGTCATGTGACATCGTGCTTAACAAACAAAAAAAAGTTGCTTAAGAACCACAACCAGAATTGGCATGGTCCCATGATTTTTGACTTTATGACTACAATGGAGTTTCTGGTCCCAGTTACGGTCATATCTGTACTTTCAAGTAAATTATCAACTAAAGCTTGAGTAGATAATCAAGAAATGAAAATGCCTATAATTTTGAAATCTGAACACATAGTTAAACCAATTAGGGCAGAATCTCAGAAATATTTATTATTCATCAAATGTATATGATTGTCCATCTCATAGAAAGCAACTCTTGGCAGCATACAACAATCCAAATTTCCTTCCCTCAGCTCCCACCCATGGGCTGTCTCTTATCTCTTGTCATGCACACTGAACTTCTGCCAGGTTTGTTTCTCACAATCTCTCTCACATGAGTCTATTTGAGGAGAACTATATGTGTAATAATGTATTTGAGGGCGTTTTATGTGTTAAGAGTAGTGAGCTAGTAATAGATTAGGTATATGTGTATGTGTGTTTACCTATGTACTTGCTGACAGATGCACTGCCAAAAGCCTAAGTTAACACTTTATGTATTCTCAGACACCTGAAAGCTTCCTAGCCCTGGTCTTAGCTATTGCTCTTTGCTTATTATCTAGGGTTTTCTTTTTCCCATTCATCTCTTTCCTTTCAAATCTCCTATTCTATACATTCTTACCTGGGAATAAGTCTCACTGAACTCAGTGAGGCTTGCATCAAAGTAAACATGTACAGGATTGTCCTATAAAACATATTTAATTTCTTTATTTGGAATAGTTAAACTATAACCTGATGCATGCAACTCTCTTGAAGTGCTTTGGTTTCATATCATATACAGCATGTGATTTATACGAATGATGACTCTGTGAACATTAAGTGATCATACCTGCTTTGTTCTTCATTCAGTCTTTCCCTTTTGTCATTAAGCATTCTATCTTGTAAAAGGCATCCATTCATTGTATTTTGCAATAATTTCTGAAGTTGATAAAGGACCAGTGCTTGACATGCATCAAAGTTTTCTTGTGCCAAATTGCCACTTTTATTACAGAGTCTATAAACAAAACAGGTACTTAAAAACAGGTAGTTAATAATATTCTATTTTTATCAATGAAATTTAAAATTATTAATATATTGATCAAATATGAATAGGTCAAGGTGTATGCATGCACCAACTACTTCACCTGCACCACCCGAAAAACCAAAGAAACTGATATTTTACCCAGCTGAAATAATAGAAATAACTGTGATACACAGCTGGGTAAAATGAAAGTCTTTGTGGAAGAATGTGATAGACCACGGGTGTCAAAGTGCCAGCCCATGGGCTGGACATGTCACGATGAAACCGCACCCACCCCAGTGCCGGCAATGGGGAAAAGTTCTGATATATCATGCGACATTACGTGACAAGTTTAATATTAGGATCTTTTTCATAGTCAGCATTTCTGTTTCAAGATCTGAGCTCACTACCTCAAGGTAACACGTGCAAAGCTAGACTATGAGCCTGCAATGCCAATACTGTCAAGTGTGAAGAATATATAATAATTCTTTCAACAATTCCTAGGAGGAATGAGGGAAAAAAGAATCCTGGACTAGAGTATGGTAATGCAAACACTCTGGGTCTGACTTGTAATCTACCAAAATAAATCAGAATAATGAAAACGTAATTGCATTGCCAAACATAAGGTCCTTTCCATTTAACAATTTTTTAAAAGTATATTAATGAGGAATCAATGACTTTAAAACAATCAAATTGTTCCTGCAACGTTGTTATAAAGAGATCATAGCCACAGATTACTAAATAAGAATGACCATTCCAAAAAACAGATTATTTACCTTAAATAGAAGGCAAAGTTACTAAATGTTATAGTGAGTTCCCAAATTTGGGAGGGAAGTGAAAGGTGCCACACCAGTCTGTGCTTTCCTATCTTCCTCCAGTTTAACAAAATAATATTGTTCTTTCTCCAAAATCAGTGATAATTATAAGTGCTGAAAAGCCTTTTTTAAGAGCTCTAATCATTTGAAGTCCATTTCATATGAACCCTGAAATATACTATGCATGCCTCGTTGTTAAAACATCTTTACATTATTCTTCCAAACAGACCAATTTTGAAATGAGAACAATCCAGGATTTTTGTGGTGGAGGAGTAATCCAAAATAAATTCAGATGACGTTATCAAAACCACAATCAGAATAGTTATATAGGTAGCATGCTAACATTTCACATTAAATGAAAATAGCCTTGACCTTATAAGCTTCTCTAGTTCTGCTGTATTAGCAGTTTCTCTCCGGTATAATGCCGGGCATTCAGAAGGTACTTTGGCCACCAGTTCTTCTATGAAAGTTAAGACATGACAAAATCCTTCAAATGATAGACATTCTCTGCAGAAATAAGAAAAAATGCATTTCATGCAGTAGCAAGAACATATTGTTTAACAATCTACTAAAATATTGGTATTAAAATAGGGCATAGTAATATAAATGGGGAAGTAGAAACATTTTTGCTGAATTTCGTTGTATATATATATATGCCTTCTTTGCATTATACCAAGAAGCATTGAGCTATATCACCTGAAAATACTTTTGCTCGTCCCTTTTTTGTGACATTTAAATAGGGACACAACAGTGTGATAAATGTTGTATGAGGCAACACTATCATATTGTGTAGGGTTTATCTTCACGAGCAGCAATCAACAAAGCAGAGATAAGAAATTTGCAACGGGAAGCTGGCATCGTATATATTGGGAATCCCTAAATGTCAAAGGGGGAAAAAAAGAATGAAACATACAGACCTGTATTAACCATAGCTCAAGTTTTCATGTCTGGATTATATATCATAAGTTTGCAGAATTCATGTAACTAGTAAAACACTGTCCTGGTTTGGTGTATAAAAAGTTCTGCTAGACTATTGTAGCACAAGTAATTTATCTGATAATGTTTATTTCTATGTATAACATGATTAGCAAAGAAACTTAATAAATTTTAGGGCCACATTTGGCCAATAGTGCAATGATATTGCAAACTTTGTTTGAAGCAGCTCAGCATTTGGTTATTTTTAATTTAAAACAACCAAAACGTATAACTATGTGAATGTAAAAAGCGAATGGATCCCTACAGGTGGAAAACATAACTGCGATTTAAGGGGAATTATAATAACGGGATGCCTCTATAATGATGCAAATTAAGATTTAAGGATTTTAACAATGGAGTATTGCTAATCCTTTTATAGAGGTGTAAATAGCTATTCAGATTTTTATTTCAGACTGCCAGCTTTGTTCAAGCAGAACTCTATAAAGCAAACACACAGCTGGCCTATAAACTATGGTACAAAAACTATATTCAGAGATCCTACCAAGCTTCTAAAATATTTACAACTTTAATGCATAGTGTGCACGATTCACACAGCACTGTAAAATATTTCAGTTACTGAAAATGATTCCCATAACAGTAAGGGTGAACACTGAAAAATGAAGATGGTGTGGGAGTGAAGTTTTGAGTTTTAAACCAATACACACTGAACCAGTAAGAACACACAGGCAGTTCAACGGGGCTTTTCATTGCGCTGAAGTCTTACAAAATCTCTATTTCAGCTAGGTCATTCCCTATTGTGCTCCTCCCTCTGGGTGGTCTTTCCAGGGTGCCACTTGAAGGGAATACATTAATAAAAAGAAGGGGAAGGAAAGGACACATAAATAAAGAAAAGCAAAATGGATGACATGATGCAGCAGGCTATGGATCAGGGGTCAGCAAACAAGGGGTCTTTCTCTTTACAGGTTGCTTCCTGGAAACAGTCTGATTAAGCTGACAGCTTGAATTATGTGTTACATTTTGTAACGCACAATCCATCTGTGCTAAGTCCTCTTGAATGCAGCTGAAGCAACACAAGCAAAAGGTCTCTGCCTTGTTCCTTCTTAAACCTAAGCTTGAAATACTCATTATTTTCCTAAGTGCGAAGTCGAAGAGTCTGGACTTGCTAAAGCTCTAAATGAAGCACAGGTTAGTGATGGGAACTGACAAAGGGCAAAACAAGGTTCTCCCTCAGTTTGACAATACTGACACATCAAAAGTTTTGAAAGATCATACACTATTTAATAGATTGTTCATTGATTTATTTCCCATGGTAGAAGTAGCAATATTAATAGGCCAGTGGCTACAGGGTAGCATGAGACTAATAAGTTCTCATAAGATGTCATTATGAGGCTTATTGCTGGTTCCACTCTTAAATTTTAAAATAAAGATGTGGTGGTAGGATAGAAATCAGACGGATCAATAGAGGTATCTATGAAAACCAGCAGCAGAACTTTAAAAATATGTGTGGAAAAAGCCCAGTGAACAAGATTCAGAGAGATTCAATTTAGAGAGATTTAATTACAATTCAGTATATTGTTAATGCTGCTTTAGGAAATGGTCTAGTTCAATACCTAATTGCAATCTTAACTAGTACTGACTGGGGGTGGGGGAATGCATATTTAAAATATATAAAATTATAACAACTTACATGAAGTGTTACTGTCACTTGCAACAGTACACCATTCTGACTGACGCAGAAAAAAATATAATAAAGGCTATACAGGTAGTTCTCGACTTATGATCACAGTTGGGAACCAGAATTTTCAGTGCTAAGCAAGGCGGCTGTTTAGTTAGTTGTACTCAATTTTAGAACTTTTTAGCCAGGGTTGTTAAGCAAATCACTGCAGTTGTCAAGCAAATTGTGTGTTTTTCAAGCAAATCTGACTTCTTCCTTTGGCTCTGCTTGTCAACGGCTGGGAGGGAAGGTCACAAATGGTGATCACATGATCCCAGGATGCTGTAACCATTGTAAATACTCGTTGGTTGCCAAATGCCTGAATTTTGATGGTTGTAAATGTGAGGACGGGTCACTAAGTCCCATTTCTTTAATGCCATTGCAACTTCAAACAGTTGCTAAACAAATGGCTGTAAGTCAAGGACTACTGTATATAATAAAAGCTACATATATAAAGTATTATTTTTATTTCTAAATGATATCTAGCAAAATGTAAAATACTAACTGAACTATGTTTTTAACATCATGAAAGTTAATCAGTTCTTTAATTCCATTCAACCTTAATTCATAAATACATTTGTTTATTCCATTTACATCTTGCTGCAATCCAAAGTAACTCTTGGCATGTCTATCACAGTGATTCAGTTATAATTAAAGAGATTTAAGGAAGATTTAAGGAAGATGACATCTTGTATACTATTAATATTTTCAACTCCCTCATAACAAATCTGAAGTTGCTTGTCAACACATTATCTTGCAAATACAATTTTAAAGGGTCAGAAAAGAAGGAAAATAAATATAACCAAGTAATTATAAAGTATAAAATACACAAAAGCCACAGACATAGGTTTCATATCAGCTCTAAATATATTTAACTGCTAAGATTTAATGTAAGTTGATGTTAGGAAATAACAATGTATTGTTTTAAGATACTGGTCCTAGAAAAATTTGTAAACACTTACAAGACAGAGAATCTATTATACAGGGGAGTTAGGGTAAAAATACCTAATAAAACAAAGAGAAAAATCTAACTATTATCCACATAAAGATTCAGAATCTTTATAGAGAGAAAAGCACTACCTCAAACCAACCCTAACTGGAGGACTATCTGAGTAGTTGTGTTAAGCTGAACTTAGGAAAACAACACAATTTTAATCTTGGTATCTCTCTGCCATAACTAATTCTGGTATCTCTTTGCCACTTTTAACAGCTTTCTCTATAGTGCAGAGGAAAAACAGATCAGTTGCTCATAGATAGTACCATATCTGCTAAAAGTGAAAATCTTAACATAGGAGACTAGGATTTGCTACACTGGATGACGAATTAAATAGGCAAGTAAACTTAAATTACACTAATCAATAGGAAGGAAAAAATCCATACCAACTGAAAGGCATATATCATCTCTTATACAAAATAGATATCTATGCTGTGCACTCATTAGAGAGAACATGCTATTGAATCTCTAAGGTCTGTCTTCTGGCTGCTGTTTTCCTCACTTCGCACTACAGACCTTAGAGATTACCCCTACATTACAGAATATATTCCCAGAGGTACATCTAGTCGATCATCGTTGACATTTAAGAAAATGCTAACATTTTCTTTAACATTTATTTCTTTAAATAAGTATTTACCAACTAATACCTAGATCACGGGTGTCAAACTCGCCGCATTACGTGACGTGTCGTGACTTTTTTCACATTGCAGGAGCTGGGGTGGGTATGGCCTCTGCATAAGGCAACCGGCCCGCAGGCTGGCAGTTTGACACCCCTGACCTAGATGTTGGATCATCTCAATGTTAGTCTTATACTATTATTATTATGTTTAATATATTTAGTTTTTAATTGTGAGGTGTTTTTAGGCACCTATTTTATTATTACTGTACACTACCCAAAATTGTAGAATGAGCAGATATAACAATAAACAAAACAAATACAAATGAACATTACTGGTTTAGTTTTACCTTAGCTCGAGGCCAGAACATGAGTGTTCAGTTGAAAAAAACATTTGAGAATATTCTTCATTATTACATATTGTATTGTCAAGTTTGCAATCTGTACTGTTTAGATTTTGTTGTAGTTTCAAAGAAGTTGATTCCTCCTCCTCCTCCTCCTCACTCAATGAAACAGTAAGATCTGTGCTGCTACTTAAACTTTTATCTTCCTCCTGCAGTATATTTTTGTCCAATTGTATGGTGCTCCCCAAAACTGTAACAAAAACATTTTTTGAACTATTAAATCTAAATATTTATTTATAAACAATTAGAATAATGTCCTGAACCTGTCTAGAACATTATTATAGGGCAGAAAACCTGTTTTTTTAACACTGAGTTTCCAAAATAAAAATAAACTAAGCTGGCTAAAGAAAGGCATACTAGATAGTTTGTAAAACCACCCACCATGATAAATTTAGGACAAACCATCTCACAATATACCTATTGGAGGAATATTTTAGAAAACAATACTTTTTAAAATTCTATTTAGAAATTACAATACCTGGAAAGAATAACAAAAGAATAACAGAATATTTTCTTGCAGCTTAATGAGATTAATTTTTACCCTCCATTTTAAATTGTATACATTCTGAATTGTCCTAGAGAGAACCTAAAGATGAAATTGCAATTCTTCAATCAACAGAACTACAGCTGTTTCGTTAAGATTTCATGAGACAAGAAATGCTTACTTTAAAAAAATTAACAAAAACCTAACTTCAAATCTATAGAAATCTATTTCTATGCTAACAAAATACATACCTAATATCAAAGGTATGGAACCATTAGATATTTAAAAAGGCCAAGTGACTATATATTGAATAATAATACTATCCTTTTTACAAAGTCTTTGATTATGCTCTCTTACACTTTTATACTCTTGTAAATAATAAAAGAAAACATGAGAAACATCTCTGTGGCTGAGTTCTCAGAAAACAATTCCAAATAAAGCAAGGTTACAAACAAATCAAACATAATGTAAACAATATAGTAGTTCCTAACTGCATTCCTATTATCTTTTGCTATTCAAAAAGTACATTTTTTTATTCATAGATCCTACAGTTATGGGACAACATCATCAAAACTACAGCTGAAAGATGGCTTTCTTTTTCTTTATATCATCTTTATACCTGGGAGTTTTTCTTCTGAGCACTCATTGGCAGAAACAAGTAAGTCAGGATCACCGATCAATGAGATGGGCTCTTTAGTTCCTTGTTCATATTGTGAAGAATGTTCACAGGTCAATGATTTGCAGGAACTGTAACTTTTCAGACTGGTGGATCTGTTCTCAAAACTTAATTTTCTGTGTAGCAGAGATTTAGGTTCAGGGTGGGCATTGTTTTCCACAAAATTATTGCTGTCATTATTTGCTATACTTTCCCCCATTAAACAAGTTCTTTCATTCTCATATGATACACTGGATGTGACTGGCATTTCTTCAGCTTTCAGCAGAGATGTCTTCCCATCTATTTTGTCAGACTTATTTGAGCACTGTAGATCACTATTAGTTTGAACTACACAGCTGTCTGTCATATAGCAGCTCTGTGATGGTTGTCTATAGGAATATGGGTCAGAAATTGAAAAGCTCTTTGTGAGTTCAGATTTCTGCAGTGCACCGAAATCTTCAACGCTTGAGACAGCTGACATTTGGCGACCCATAAAGATAGTTGCTGAATGATATAGTCCTCTTGACATGGCTGTCCTGGCATTAATTCTTGACTGCCTTGCTTCTGGAACCATCTGAAAAACAGTTGGAAATCAAGAAACTGTTTTCTATTTTTTTCATTATTATTATAGTAGATAGGAATTGTTTGAAAAATACTCCTTTTTAAAAAAAGATTAATAATAATGCATTAAACCTCTGTGCCATCAGATTCTCAATGACTCTGGTTGGCTTACAAAAAAATACAATAAAACATAAAAAATAAAGAAAAGAGATGGCAAGGGCAATGAAGTAAGGGCTCTTCACTCCATTGAACATAAGCAGTATAAAGCAATGCAACATGCATTGTCAGGTTAAGTTTCAGATGTGCTCTGAGGAGGTTAGCAACATAGCTAGCAATAGGTCAGCACACATTCATTGTCTGACAAAGCACTACCTGGAAGAAATTTACGCTATAGATGTGCAAATTATTCCAAGTAGGAAAAGTGTCAAGTTCAGTAGTTACAACAAAACCTGGTTATTTTGAAAATATTATTTCAATTTGCAAGTTCTATGATTGTTCTGTTATTTTGGGGTTTAGCTAACAACAGCAGTAGCTACAGTAGTTAAATTAGATTAGAAATGAGAAGGAGTGCCAACATGCTGGGGGGGAGGGGGGAGGGAAGTAATGTAAACATGTTTGAAGGCCAGTTTGGATTTGGCTTTACTACTATAGAGGGAGGACCAGGATATAGCAACCAACCAACACACACTGACTAATCTGCTCTATTACTGAGATTGTTGAATGCTTCAAGCACCTCCCCCATAGCAATATTTTTGCAATGTTGTTTAGATTTATGGCAGCATAAGCTTCATTAGTTAGAGCAGGGGTTCTCAACCTTGGCAACTTTAAGACTTGTGGACTTCAACTCCCAGAATTCCTCAGCCAGCTGGCTGAGGAATTCTGGGAGTTGAAGTCCACAAGTCTTAAAGTTGCCAAGGTTGAGAACCCCTGAGTTAGAGAAACAAAAAAGACTGCCCTTTCCCACCATGGGTTTTCAGTTCAACAAATGATAGAATTAAGTGTTAGAGATCCTTTGTCTGAAACCTTGTCGGGTATAGGAATCCGGGATTCACCCTTTAAAGTTAAAACACCTTTTGCCCTTTGCCTCAATATGAAAAAAATGTTTGCTTTAATTAGGGGAAATTAATTCTTCCAGTGAGGTGTGCGTACTAGGTTGATAGCACAACAATATTTGCTGGGCTGTACATATATGCATGCACATACCTTATTAGAGTGCTTTCATTTTAAATCACGCTTTACTTTTATGGTTTAATCCTCTCTTCCCAGCCTCATGAGCTAGAAAAGCAGAGGGGAAACTGAGAGGGACAAAGAGAGAAGGCAGAGGCTTATTGATCAAGAGGGGTGGAAGCATCACTCAAGTGTCATTGCCACCACTGCAGTGCACAAATTCTCCTACTGACTATTAGTAGGGTATCTTAAGCAGAACAAAATACTGCCTTAGTGGGTGAACCAACATTGGTATGCAAACATAATACTTCAAAGGCATGCTATTGCACAGGTAATGACTTTATATAACTTTCAGCGCCTCTAAATGGATATTTTCTTCCACTACAAAATGGTTATCTCTTCAGCAAGCAGGTTGAGCCCTTTGCATAGAAAATGCTGGAATCACTGTAAGCAACAGGACCCCAATAAGCATGCACTGCATTCCAGACACATGGCTTACTTGAACATGGGTTCGCGCTTTTTACCTCTTTTCACCTTGCACTGGTGCAGTAGCCACCCACAAGAAGGTACTGGTTCAGAATGAGGAACTTTAGGTACTTACATGAGGAGAGTATGACTACGATGCATTGCAATGAGAAGTAGCTATCAGTGTGGCAAAACCAAACGTTTTCAAGATCACAAACAACAAAAACAATCATCCACAGTTTATCTGTATTAGCTGTATTGCCTCCAAACAGCAAATGTGTGGGATGGTCTTGGCAGGATGGAAACCAACATAAACATTACGCCTTTGGCCCGTGACTATTGTCACCTTTCACGTGGCTATACAAATGCTACTTCAGCACCTCATCCCCCAAGAGACCATCGTACATTGGAACTCTATCTAATGTTGGCACTGCTTGAACACATCCAACCAACCAGATGCATTAGACAAGTGTTCTGAAAATCCATACAGGTAATTCTTGATATACAACCTTAATGGAGCCTGCCTATTACAGTTATAAGTCATGACAATTTCCAATTTCCAATTTCCAGTTCCAATTTTACAATCTTGTTGCCACAGTTGTTAAGCAATACCGCAATTGTTTAGCAACCCATTGTTCACTATAGGGCATTTTCTTTTGCCAAAAAGGGGAACTAATTGCTGTTGTTAGGAGAAATGTCATAAATTGCAGTCACATGATCACAGGATGCTGTAAATGGCTGAAAAAACAGGCTGGTTGCCAAGTGCCTGAAATACCTGTGGTTGCCAAGTACTTGTGGTCACATAACTATGGGGGAGGAGGGGATGGTGGAGCCATCAGAACTTTGGAACTGGATTGTAAGTACCTTTGGGGGGGGGAGAAGCCATCGTAATTTCAATGATCGTTAAGTGATTGATTTAAGTTGAAGGCTACCTGTATGCAGCCAATAGACCTTTCAAATTGCTTGGACAGTCTTATTGACTTCAACTTTAGTGTCTTGCTTATGCTGAGCTTCAGGTGGATTTAAAATGAAAACACATCAGCACTTGTTTAATTGATTTGTTAAACTTTGAGATACACATATATATAGTGTTGTCCATGATCTTGCATTCTATTAACGTTGAGTTCTGATTGCATTTAAAAATAAAAAATCACTTCAACACACATGACAGGGCTATGTTGAATTTACTGAATGATCTGCAGAGTTCTAATATGTGAACAGCTTTGCCTAAAGTTGTTTGAATCTCAACAGTGTCTAGAACACAAGCTGAGGAGGAAGCATGATCAAATTCTTGCTTCTATGCTTAGAGAAATGTTTATGTTTCTGTATGCTGTTATTTGGATCCTAGCCAGCATTTGTAAAAGCTATCACCCTTATACAGAGGATTAATAAATTTAAAATGAACAATGACAGATCACAAACAATTCACAGTATAATACTATAATAATCTTAAAGTACTCTATGGCTTTTGGATATCTAATGTAAAATATTTAAAAAAAACATTCAGATAAATATTTTATGTGTCGTTGTATAAAAATGGACATGCGGAAAATCAGTATTTTAGAATTCTATCCATACTGTTTCATAAATATATGAACGGAATGAATGTTTATATTATCTAAGTCTACTTATCTAGGTCAAGGTTGGTGAAGCTCTTTGCTCTGTATATAAGGAAGAATGGTCTAAATTCAAGGTTTCAACACCTTTTTAATCTACAACCAGGAAAAAAGAAATCTATAACCTCAGATTAACAACTGCTAATGCAATGAAGAAAACCTTCCTGCCACTATTAAACACATCTCCCCACACGCACACACATACACACACATGAAATAGTGTTGCCTCTGTTTCTTTCCTGATAAGAGTCTTAAATACCAAACAGTTAAATGCATAATAACATTTACTGGCAGCAAGACAGCCTGCTTAGCTGATACATAAAGCAGGTAAAAGGAGGAAAAGTTAATTTCTTGGCTGAATGATTCCATCGGTAGCTATAGGGCAAACTAGAAAGTCTTTCAGTAAAGTAGCAGTTGATTCTTCTATCAATCTGCAGCACACATACTCTTCCAAGGAATGCATTAAATATGAAAATCATATCCTGTTATCATCTGTTTCCAGCTTTCAGCCCAGTAAGCTTTCCTTAATGAATGTTGTAGCCTAAGGGACAAGCATGCTGTTGGCTTTTCTGAATAATGGAGTGATGCTACCCATTTTGGCTTATTACAATATCGACTAGCTGAGGGGGTTTCACATATAGTCACAAGTGACTACTCTTGCCAGCATGCTCCAAGTTATTACAAGATGTTTTTAGTCATTTCATCTAAAAGAGCTTTCCTGCTTTTAGGGAAGAAAAACCGTTCTGGTCTTGAACTGTATCATTTATATGGAGATAGGAGGGGGGGGGGATTAGAAGGCTGCATTACCACAGATACATAGCGGAATATATTTGAGTATTACTTCTCGGCTTTGTCCATGGTTTAGGTATGCAATCTTTGCTTTTTAGAGGGACAAGAAAGGTCAAAATGTATGAAATTATAAATTCAATGTATTTCAATTAAAATTTACAAGACTTTGCCACACTATTTTGAGTCTAGAACTTAAGAATACTAGATGAATGGAATGCTGAAAAGTGAGGGTTTCAATCACTATTTATTAATTTCACAATGAAAGCCTTTGCTTCTTACCTAAAATCATACTATTTATATGGCATGTGAGAACAGCAACACAAGCTTTACAACCATTTTTTTAAAAAATGCAAAAACCTCCTAAATTAAGAGATTGTGTCTTCTATTCCACTGAGTCAAAAAGAAATATAAACATGCCTAAATTTTCCCAATGAAATAACTGGAAAATAAAGAACAAGAAAAAATAAGGAATACAAACTAAAAAGTGAGAAAATATAAAATAAGGAAAATGAGGAAAATTATCTTACATGCATTAAGAATTTTCACATACCTGACATTTAGGACCATCTCTCATCTCATGTTTTAACGTATCTTTTCTCTCAACTAACAGCCTATTTTTAATTTCTTTTTCATATTCTGCCTAGTATAAGGAGAGATTATAAATAATCATTAAGCATTCAGGTTGTGATGTAGCCAAAGTTAAACAGATGTGTCACTGATTCCAGTGGAAACCAATTAAGTATATGTTTTACCTCTTCTTTTAAATTAAGTATTTTATATGATTGGATTGTTTTGATGTAGTAATATGTAGTATACAGTATAAAAAATCAACTTGTTTAAAACGATTCTGAATAACATTCTCATTTAAATACGCTACACATATTAATTTTAATCTTATTGAATATTGCATTTACCTCAAAATGTAAGAAGATGCTATAAATATGAGATGATTAACCAGAAAAAAAATACCATTACTATATTCTCATGAATTTAAAACAACCCTCCAATTTTAAAGTTAATTTATTCAGAAATAACTATGCTTACATTCAGAATACAGTATATAAAATGGTTCCAAAGCTAAAATAATGTTTATGTAAAAGCTTCCATTTTATTTAAAATCAACTATACTAGTTTATTCAAGTTTTTCATTAGTTCTTTATATCTTCTAAATAAACAATCATAGCCAAACTGTATACTTTTATACTTTTACATAAGAATTATCTAAAACTACATAAAATGTTTTAGAACTTTGTTAATTGCTTCTCCAGATTTTGAAACAAAATTCTGTGTTTTAGGTAGTATGTTCATAACAGACCTTTCTTAGATTCAAAGTTCATAAGAACTACGAATTAAAATGTGTATATTTGGCAAAACGCAACGAAATGATGATATAGTAAATTCAGTATAAGACCTTCTAAAACATAATGAGCATTTGAGAATGATTTAATAGCTATTAAAAATCAGATGCTGCAAATGGGGTAGCACAGAATCACAAGAATTTGAAATAAAATGAAATGTCAAGAAGTGTTTTCACTACATTCTTTTAGGTCCTGTTTCACTGATATCACAATCAAATTGCATATTTAACAATTAAAGTTCAGGTAGCTAAATAATGTTGCAAGAAATATTCAAGACCCTTAAGCTCTCCAGCCCTACCTCATTTCCAAAGCTTTAAGAAGAAGAAAACAGAACTCTACTGCTATCCTTACAGTACCTATCAACTTATGTCACATAAGATTTCCCGAATAGGCAAAACAGACTCCTTCAAAGTAATTGTTACTTTATTACAGCTAGAACACATCATACCTTTAGCTTTTGAAGGGACTCTGATCTTGAAGCAAACTTCCTAATGTGAGCTTCAATACAATCAAATTCTTTTAATAAATCTTGGTTTCGGAGCAGAGATTTCTTCTGACGTTCACATATTTCATTTAAATATTTTTTTAGATTTGCGTATTTCAATTTAGTTCTACACAGGGAGAAGCAAAAAAGTCAACCATAAACTGTAACAGCTTATTTTTGCAAAGAGAAACATTTCTTAAATGTACACAGGATTATCAGAAGAATATTTAATGTTAATGGTAGACAGAATTATAAAAACTAATTAGAATCAATGTTTGAGGTTATTCCCTTTTACTTTAAATATGAAAATTTACTTCTTCAAGACAATAATTTAAAATTTCTCCAACAAAGTATAATCCAGTTACAATCTGAGTGTACTTCCAGCCCAAGATCATCTCACTTTGTCTCTCCCCTTTCTTGCTTGCATAAGTTCAAGGAACAAAAACACCATTGCAAACAGAGGTAAGTCTAAATTAATCACGTCTGTCATAGTCAAATTATACATGCACTGAGGAAGATGGGACTAGCCAGACTCCTAAAATAGGACTTGGAGATGATAAGAATTAAATACACCTTCTTCCTTTGATTCTTTCAACCCAAAGTTTCTATAGAACATACTGGTTAGCATCCATCTACTATCTTTAAAAAGACTAATTATTAAATCTTTCACACAAAGTGTTTTGGATTACTTAAGAGCACATGCAAAACTTTTTTAAACTATTAAAGACCTGCATTTTTTTTTCCAAGCTCACAAAACTGCTTCAGAAACTGCTTCTGACCGACTCTGCATAATGACATGTGAGCCTGTGAAAAAGACATGGTAGCTTAATTCGAAAAGAGATGTTTTATACCTGCTGCCCACACATTTCAAGGAATCTCTTTCAAAAAATTTGCATAGGTGTCACTCTGAACCACCACAGTATTGTGGAGTTGTTTGGTTCTATGTCTGGAGATGGGCATATCAGATGTCATGCTTCCTTAGGGCAAGTTGCAATTCATCACAGCAAAGAACACCTTACTTATTAAATAGTCATTAAAATATATGCATGCCACAAGAAAGTTGTAACCTTAAGAAAGAATAGAGACCCATGGGAAATATCCAATGTCAGTGGGTTAAGTTATGTTTGGACAAGGAAAATTAAGTTTCATCCAGGATTATAGCCATTGGAAACTGTAAGTATCTGATTCCCAAATTAAGATTCTGCCTACCTTCTAAAAAGTTTCAACAATACTGTAGTCTTTATTGTAAAGTAAGACTCTAAAAATACCAGGAAAGTAGGCTGCTAGTATTCTAGGCAAGTGGTCAGCCCAATATATTTGCTATCTATTTCTTCTGGTCAACTTTATTTATTTTATTATTCATTCAATCAATCAATTTCTGTAGCCACCCAACTCAACCAAATGACTCTGGCAGGCTTGCAATTCTAAAATTATAAAATAATTAAAACAATTTAAAAATCATTAAAGCAATAAACAACAAAATAAATAAACAGCAGCTATGATGATTAATCACTAATAGTAAAGCCAAGAAATAGGATTCTTAACACCTTCTGAGCCTTAGGTCGATAGCCCAGGTATATAGCCAAGTTTTTTTAATCTTTGCGAAATGCCAACAGGGTTGAGGTTATTCTAATCTCCGAGGGGAGAATATTCCACAAGGCAGGGACTACAGCAGAAAAGGCCCGTCTTCTAGTTCCCACCAGTCAACACTTTTTGGCTGATGCAGCATGCCCAATCTGAATTAGACTGGACAGGTATGAACTCTTGGAAAATGACCATCCTTCAGGTAAGCCAGTCCCAAGCTATGTAGGGCTTTAGAAGTGACAACCAGCACCTTGAATTGCACCCAGATTTAGAGGTCCAATATGATAACATGAGAAATGCTTTCTTCCGAATAGTTGAACTGCATATTCTTCACTTTTCCATACAATTAAGTAATTTCAAACATAGCGGCTGACATGTATTTATATTATTATTTTTCTACATCATCTGGTCTGTTTTTATCCAGTAGTGAATCAGATTTAGGTTTTGCTTTCCCTGGGTGCCTTCCCTCCATTCATCTTCCCAATTCCAATTTTCAATATACATGAATCCATAAAAATCTAACTATACATGCCAATCGGCACTGTAATGCACCGTACTGTTAAATAAATTTTACACATCAATATTTCCATGCTATACATTATATAATAATACATAGTAAAACTAATACAACTACATGCTGATTTATAAAGCTTACATGGAAGTATCAGGTGTGCTGTATTCAAGCATTTTTCTTTCCAGTTCCACCCTCTTTGATTCACTAAAACAAACAGAATGAAGTTACTGTATCTTCTATATACCGTAAATAATTTTACAGTACACAAAGGGAAACTATACAGCATTGTAAAGCTTCCAGAATTTTGGGAGTTGTGTGGTATATAAATCTATATAACTTCATAAATAAACGCTCACAATGACCTTAAGACTCCTTTCTATACCACATGTCCCAAATATTGATAATTATTATTAATCAAAATGCATTACAATTCTTATCTAGGCAGAGTTATTAGAGATTACAATATCATGACAGATAATGAATGATTACAGATGAACATTTACTCTAGAATTACCTTTCAGAAATCACAAAATGTAAGAAATGTTTATAATATCTAATCACATAGCACTGGGATTATGCTCTACTGAAAGATGTCAAATTAAATACACACATTAAGAAGTCCTCTGGCCCATATGTTGCAGGCAACTGTCTTCTCACATATTAATGCTATACATGCCCTAGTAACCAGAAAATATTTTAACATATTATTAAGGATATGTCTGGAAGGACAACTATCTGCAATAACAAAAGTAAATTACCATGTTGTTTCCCAAATATAACAAAGTAAAAAATATGTATATCGCTGCAAACATTGCAGAAGCCACGTTCTTTTTTTCTTTCCTGTTTCTCTTTCCTGAATAATGACTTCAATAAATAAAGAGGAAATAGTGATAAACACGAGGGCAGAAAATATCCCTGAAAACCAATTTTTTGAAACTATTAGGAAATCTATGCTACTTTTTTTTAAAAAATAAACAATTATAGTTTTATATACAATTTAGCACAAACCGCAAAACATTTTGTTCTAATTTGCTTTCAAGTTTATTTTGTATTTTAATGGTTTTAGATATTGCTGTCTTATGACATTGTATAATTTTAAGTAGTTTATTTGATTCATCGCTTAATTTTTTATAAGCTGCAAGCTATGATGAAGTGTATTTTATTTATTTATTTATTTATTTTCAGTGTTTATATGCCGCCCAATCCCAAAGGACTCAGGGCGGCGTACAAAGTTAAAACAATGATAAAACAATAAAATAAAGCAGTCATACCGCGAGTCCGATCATATCCCGGCCCCCCGGGGACATCAGCCCTAGGCCTGCCGGAACAGGAGGGTTTTAACGGCCTTCTTAAAGGCCGGCAGGGTGGGAGTAGTTCAAACCTCAGGGGGAAGTTGATTCCACCAGGTTGGAGCCACCATAGAAAAGGCCCTTCCCCGAGGGCCCGCCAGCCGACATTGTCTGGCCGACAGGACCTGAAGGAGGCCCAATCTATGGGACCTCACCGGTCTCTGGGAGCTGTGTGGCAGAATGCGGTCCTGTAAGTAACCTGGCCCTATGCCATGAGGGGCTTTAAAGGTGATAACCAACACCTTGAATTGCGTCCGGAGACCCACAGGAAGCCATTGCAGCTCGCGGAGGATAGGTGACACGTGGGCGTACCTTGGCGCGCCCACAATCACTCTCGCGGCTGCGTTCTGAACCAACTGCAGCCTCCGAACGCTCTTCAAGGGTAGCCCCATGTAGAGCGCGTTACAGTAATCCAGTCTTGAGGTGACAAGGGCATGAGTGACTGTGAGTAAAGCCTCCCGGTCCAAATAAGGCCGCAACTGGTGCACTAGGCAAACCTGTGCAAAGGAACCCCTGGCCACAGCCGATAGATGTTGTTCCAGATTTAGCTGTGAGTCCAGGAGGACACCCAAGTTGCGTGCCTGCACTGAGGGAGGTAAATTTGCCCCCCCCCAGGACTAAAGATGGACCATCCAGTTGGCCTTTGGGAGGCAAGACCCAGAGCCACTCGGTCTTGTCAGGATTGAGTCTAAGCCTGTTCACCCCCATCCAGACCCTCACCTCTTCCAGGCACCGGCACATCACGTCGACTGCTTCACTGAAAGGACACGGGGTGGAGATATATAATTGGGTATCATCCGCGTATTGATGATACCTCACCCCGTGTTGCCGAATGATCTCACCCAGTGGTTTCATGTAGATGTTAAAAAGGAGGGGGGACAGGACCGAGCCCTGAGGCACCCCATAATCGAGGCGCCTAGGGGTCGATCTCTGTCCGCCCGCCAACACCGACTGCGACCTGTCAGAGAGGTAGGAGAACCACCGCAATACGGTGCCGCCCACCCCCACCTCTCCGAGACGACGCAGAAGGATACCATGGTCGATGGTATCGAAAGCTGCTGAGAGGTCAAGAAGCACCAAGATAGAGGAATGACCCCTATCCCGGGCTTGCCAGAGGTCATCGGTCAGTGCGACCAAAGCAGTCTCAGTGCTGTAGCCGGGCCTGAAACCAGATTGAAAAGGGTCCAGATAATTGGTTTCATCCAAGGATCGCAAGAGTTGAGATGCCACCACCTTCTCTACAACCTCCCCCACAAAGGGGAGGTTGGAGACGGGACGAAAGTTCTTCAAAACAGCTGGGTCCAGGGAAGGCTTCTTGAGGAGGGGCCTCACCACCGCTTCCTTTAAAGGTTGCGGGAAAGACCCCTCCATCAATGAAGCATTGATTATCGCCTGGAGCCAGCCTCGTGTCACCTCCCTACTGGCAGAAACCAGCCAGGAGGGGCACGGGTCCAATAAACAGGTGGCGGCATTCATTGCCCTCACGGCCTTGTCCACTTCATCAGGGGTCACAGGCTCAAACTCGCTCCAGATAATATGACTAAGACCAGCCCCTGGCAACTCGGCTGGCACTGCCCAGTCAGAGTCCAGGTCCCTCTGAATCTGAGCGATTTTGTCCGAAAGAAACTGAACAAACTCCTCAGCTCTCCCCTGCAAGGGTTCCTCCGCCTCCTCCACTTTAAGAAGGGAGCGGGTCACCCTAAACAAGGCGGCCGGGTGAGATTCTGCGGACACAATAAGTGCGGAAAAGTGAACATGCTTTGCCGCTCTTATCGCCACTAAATAAGTCCTAAGATAGGCTCTTAATAGTGATCGGTCAGATTCAGAGTTACTGGCCCTTTTTTGAAATTTTTGTGGCAAAAGAAGTCTTATAGCACTGTAAACTAAGCTACCACACATGGGCAAAAAATCTGGATGAACAATATATTGCAAAAAAGTAATACAGCAAATTATTAATATTTGCTGTCATTCCATACTCATCTCCGTTTTTGCATCCCATACATAGTGTCCCTACTTAAAGTCTAATTAAATGTATTATCACATAAAAATTTGTTTGGAGCATGATCCTGTATATATATTAAAATATTATAAATACAATGAGCAGGTACAAACACTGACTTGTATCAGAGAAAATAAACAGATTTTTATTTCTATTTGTGCCAAACATATGATAAAGGTAAGATTAGTTGTGTTTGGTTAAAACTGGAAGTCTCAGTGGAAATATAGATTTTTAAACATGCTAATAGAGAGGATAAGCATAATAAATACCTACAGTATCTATTGCCAAGAATAGGAGTAAAAAAAATTAGACCCTTGCAGATGTTGTTGTGCCATAATTCCCATCTTCTTTGGTCATTGTCCATGTTGGCTATAGTTGATGGAACTGGAATCCAGTATTAGGAGCAGGGCCTGCGCACTCTTAATGTAAAGGAGGCAATGTAAATTTAATATAAAGTTGCCAAAATGATTCCTTCTAAAAGATGCTTAACATTTTCAGACAGGAATCAATAGTATTTCTACTCTATAAAATTGCAGTATATGGCTTTTAAGATAGTATCAGCACAGTAAAAAAAAATCCTTTGATAAGTCATTAAAGTATAAAGATGAATAGAACTTGATACTGCAGGCAAACTATCATAGCCTTTTCAAAACTCTTCCTGCTATTAAGAAACATTGCAGCCAGACTGAATGGCAACCTAGATGCCCCTTAATGGATAGAGTGAACAGAAACTCAGACAATAGTTCCAACAGGTAATGAATGAGTTCAGAAACCAAGTCTCTCAAAAGCACTCCAGTGACTAACCCAAAGATAGACTACACTGACTTACATTAGAACTAGAAAAGGCCACCGGTTCAAGCAAATGAGAGAAACCCTGGCTAAAGTCATCAAGCTTGAACAACACTACGCTTGTTGTTAATAACCTAATTAGAGCAGAAACAGTTAGTGCTCAAAAACTTGTTTGCTAAAAGGATGGTAGAGTTGGAACCAACATGCTAGAATCAGATGTAACACAGACCTAATTAAAGGCAGCTGAAGCAAAAAAAAAACCTCATATGAAATGAAAGGCAGCTAAAATAAAAACAAACTAGTTATACTAAAAGAGGAGAAGGAGGCTGTTTAAGTCACAGTAGGAACTGAAGCACTCAGATACACTATAAAACCTGAACATGGGCTTCTTCCTGAGGAACTGGCTAAAGCAAATCTTCCTCATAGGGATATCTTATCACACTGATTCTATAACCATAGATCAGGGGTGTCAAACTGCCAGCCCGCGGGCCAGTTTCATCATACCGGAGCGCGCCCACCCCATTACCAGCAATGGCAAAAAAGCTCCAATACCTTGCGCAACATCACGTGACGTCGTGAGTTTGACATGTCTGCCATAGATGATATTGATGTCCTTGATGAGAAGCCCACCTAGTAACTCTCAAACATCATATGAAGGTTTATAAATGCAAACTAGGACTCCCACATACTCTGATGGATCAAGGAAATATGTTTGGAATAAGCATGCCCACCTAATGTCTTCCAAGCCACAACTCACCTTGACAAAAGTCTCAAATCAAACAGAGAATTTAGAAGCACACCTGGTTTTTCCTGTTAACTTCTTCATTTCTTTAGCAAGTGTCTGGGCCACGTTGATCTTGGAGACCTATATTGCTATGGATGTCTCTTGACACAGGACACTTTTTATAATAGTTTTTCCTGTTTTCTAGTTGAGGGTATTTTGTTTCAAATTTCTTGTCAATTTGCTTCATCCATATTTTCTTTCATGCTGTTTTTTGGACCTTCCACTGGGTGGGCCACTTTCCCTATAGCTGAGTGTTAAAATAAAGGCTGTCTTCTGCCATTCT